TAGGCCTTTTCGGTGGCTCGCAAGTACGGCAAAAAATGCATGTTGGCCTATGTTGGCCACGCGAGTCATTGACATCACTGTTGCAATCTGTCAAATGTTTTGTTTTGACAAACAGCAAATCTTGTATATGTGCATATAAATCAAATATATTTTTATAAAAATATTATAAAATTAAAATGAACACGGAATTAAAAGGAATGGTAAGAATATTGGAAATTTAAAAATAAAACACTAAGATAAGTAAATTTTTGTAGGTACTGTCGATGTAGGGAGAAGAAAGCAACGTATTGCAGCGGCCGAGGAATGCAAGTTATTTCATGGATTTTTTAAATGTTATAAATGTTCGTGTCAAGTAGCACTCTAGGAAACACTTCGTTTCCTTTGTGGTCCATAGTTTGCGTATATTTCTATAAAAAAAATTTTTAGAAAAACTTCAAAAATTATGTTTGTTTTATTAATTTTACGTATGTAAACTACAAATTAAATGAAATAAAATAAATGTTATTTGGTAATAACTAACATAATAAAAAATTCAATGTGCTTAATACTTACGATTTCTCCATTCTTATTATTTCTTCGTTACTTTTCACGATTTTTCAAATTTTTGAATTCTGTTTGAATTTTTATTTCCTCAATTTTTGACATTTGATTGCACTATTCGTTGGAATTTTCAATGAAGGTTCACAATAGTTCGCTTATTGCGTTGGTAACATTTTTTTTTTTACTGGCCGATGTGGTTGGCCAGCATAACTATGCTGGCCGAGGTAGAGAAAATAGTGTTGTTGTTTTGCGTACATTGCGGCCAGTATAGGCCTGCATAGGCCAACAACTTGCTGTTTTTTGCCGTACTTGCGAGCCACCGAATACGCCTTCTGTGTAAGGGGTTTTTGTCACAAGGATTTTAAACTGGAGCACAGTAAAGACGCGATTGTTAATTACACTTAGCAGTACCCGTTATACTCTGGTTAAAACAATAAGCGTAACCACAACAACAACAACAACACTGCTCGTTTATTTAGTCCAACCTTTTTGAAACCGCTTAACTAATAACTCAAATTGTATGGTTGCCAAGACTAAAAACTCGTCTATTGTGAACGATTTTTGGAAGTACATATGAAATTTTCAGTTCATTGTCAACGAATGATTTGTTAATTTTTTGTATTTCGTGTTATCATTGTTTGTAACAAATACATTATTTTTTTTATTTATTATTTTACTGTTAAAAGGAATGAAAATTCATATTTTAATTATAATGTAAAAAGATAAATGTTCTTACCAATAATTATAAAGAATTATTATTCATTTTTGAAATTTTACACGTTTTGCATATGTAAGCCTAACAAATTTTCCGTTTTGTCCAGAGTTGCCATCTAAAGTAGTACTTATTTTATTTGTTCTTTTGCGACATGCTTACAAAAGAAAAGGCCTAAAAACAATAAATAAACAAACTTTAAGAAATACATGCAGTTATATTTTAATGTTTGATATAATATGGCAACACTGTTTTTCCACTTCATAAACATTGAACACAGCTGACTTTTCCTACATTTTTGGTTAAGAAATAGATGTGTTGTTAGGTTGATTTGATTATCGCAGTTTAAGATGCCGCAGGATTCAAATAAAGTTGTGGACTTCGGTAATATTATTTAATTGAATTTATTCAGAAATTTTAAAAAATATTTTGAAATAAAATCTGATGAAATTTTAGATGTCGTTAAGTACTTCCTAAAATTGCTGGAAGAGGATAAGGATCTGTCATCTGGTATAGCAGCTATTAAAACGTTGCTAATGATACTTGAGAAAAAACAATGTATGTTGAATATATAATACATATTAATTTTATAATAATTGTAAATATAATAGTTGGCACTATACATATTCTACACACTACCATGCGAGAGGCTGTGGCAGCCATGCGTAATACAGATTTGTCCATTGCGGCTGTAGTGTCTGGCGGTGAGCTGTTCTGCCGTTTCATTACATTAAGTTTGGACGATAAACATATGGAGGAATGTCGGCAAATTATGTTACATCGTGGAAAAATATTCTTAGCAAAATTGTTAAATTCGCGTAATGTTATTGCACAACAAGCGCAACAGTTCATTACGGATGGTTGTCGTGTGCTGACGCACTCGCGTTCACGTGTTGTGCTTAAAACACTGATCAGTGCTGCAAAAGCCAACAAGGAATTCCATGTTTATGTGACACAAGGTGGACCTGATAATCCAGGGTAATATTCAATATTTCTAAAAACTATAACTATTTTGAAATATCATAATTTATGCATTTTTTAAAATAGTGAGCAAATGGTCGCTGATTTAGAAAACGCAGGTATTGATTCAACACTCATTTTGGACTCAGCAATTGGTTACGTTATGGAATCTGTTGATTTTGTAATGGTAGGCGCTGAAGCGGTTGTTGAGAGTGGTGGTATTATAAATCGTATAGGCTCGTTTACTATGGGTCTGTGTGCGCGCGAAATGAAAAGACCTTTCTATGTACTCGCGGAAAGTTTCAAGTTTACACGTTTATATCCTCTTAATCAAAGAGATTTACCTAACGAATATAAGGTATGCTTCGATGTGTTACTGACTCTTTATTATCAATTCAATTCTTATTACTTTTGCTTTCAGTATTCACGTAAGGACTTAAGCGATGTTTCGAAAATTCATCCACAGGTGGACTATACACCACCCGCGTATATAACATTACTGTTTACTGATTTAGGCATACTAACACCTTCTGCTGTGAGCGATGAATTGATAAAACTGTATATGTAGAGACAATGATTCCCTTCTTATATGAAATTTGACCATAAAATTTATAAAAGTGAAAGTAAATTTTTGTTGATTTTCAATTTAATTAATTATATCATTTATTGTTTTAATATCAACGGTTTACATTTCTTGTTAGTACTTCTTTCTGTGCGATAATAACACTAATATGGGAGCTAAATATTTTATATATTTAAATTCACACGTAATTATTAATATATACTATATTTTATATATTCAATTTCAAATATATGTTTATATTAATTATACTGTGTTTAACTTGTACGTAACTCAATTGAATTGACAATAATAAATTTCGTTTACGAAATACGAAATCCTTTTCTCTGTGACTCCGAACCAACTAATATAATTAATTTAAAGCATCAATGCGAAGTTGTATTTGCATCGAGACTATTTCTGTTTGTGAAAAGTAAATAAAGTGCATTTAGTTTTGCTTATAATAAAGTGATAATAAAAAAAAAAATATAAATTCTTGAAAAATAAAACATATTCGTTAAATAAGTACTTCCTTTTTGGAAAGGAAATCATACCATACATTATATGTGTTGTTTTTTTAATTTCAGAAACTGACAAAAAATATATAAATATTAAAAAAAGCGATAACATTAAACAACAAAAACTTCTCTAAAATAATCAAACGTACAAATTAGCAATGTCCTCTTCATCAGAACTGTAGCCATCTTGTACGTCCAAATCTTCTTCCTCGCTCTCCTCGACTTCAGCCTGTACCAAAAGTAATATATTTGAAACACATAAATGAATAATTTTTATAAGTATACGTACAATTTGCCCCGTTTGTACATTGATTTCTATTTGCAAACGTATGTCAAGCACAAGAAAAGCTGAAGTAATCAGTACTGGTATCGTCAAGCGGCTCTTATAAGCCAAATCCGTTAAAAATAAAAATAATTTCCCAAATTGTGTGTCCATACTGAATCCTCTATAAATATTTTAGTGGTATGTTGTTTTTAACGACTTGCTCGTCCGTCCGTTTCCTTGCTTTCGTCTTCCAATTGATCGTATTTAACAATATTTACTGTTTCGCCAATCGTAATCGGCTGCACAGGCTGTATATGTCGGCAAATCTCTTGCACTGTAGACTCAGCACCACTCACTGGTGTATCCAATTCTAATATGTCATAGTTCTGTGTACTTGCGGGAAAATCGTCTGTCAGCAGAGTCCTTAAGCAATCTTCTCGCTTTTCTGCTAACGCCTTCACAAGTTTTGAATCTTTTTTAATTTTTTCAAGTTTACGTTCTGTCAATTAAATATTTTTTTTTTTAATTTAGATGAAAAAAATTATGGCTACTCTATTTACCTAAACCACGTAAGTAACTATCGGAATCCGGTAGCGGCTGATGATTCTTAGACTTAGTACCGTTAGAATTGTTGTTTGTGTTGTTAGCGGAAGCAGAAGATATAGTTGTAAAATTATCTTCGAATTCCAAAGATGCTGTCGTTGCTTCTGTTTCCGGAGCTTCGTTGCTCAGCTCGTTGTCTTGTTCGTTATTTTTAAGCTTATTATCGCTCAGCCAAGGATCTGACATTTTCTTACTTCACCAAACAATAGTTATTTTATTTCTATTTGGAACTTAATAGGTACGTCATATTTTTACTTCCAGTATTTACTTATTTACTTTAAAAAGTATTAAAAAATACTTTTGTTGCAAAAGTAGTGCTGCCAACTTGTAAAACTTTTAGCTTAAGCAATGGCCCAGCACACAACAAAAGCACGACAAGCTTTACAGTAAAAAAAAACAACGATGTGTAACGTGACGTCATGGATCTTTTATTCATAAATTTCGTTTGACATTTTGAAATGTATGTTAATGCTATGGGGGGTGTGTATTAACGATATGATCATGGTACCGGTAAAGCATGATAAGATACTCATACTACACGTTTAATATATATATCTTGCCGCATTTGTATATCCGACATTTCTTTGGACTTCTTATATCGTCCAGTCAATTGTTCTAAATCAGGTATCGATGCGGAACGATATAATATCATAAACATCAGCAGTTTTCACCGCAACTGCTTGTGTTATTCTATATATTGAAAATGTTATAAGCAGGAATTATGGAATACAGTTCATCATCATTCTTTTCTACCATTCTTGGTAATATATACTTAGGCCGTGCGCGAGTTAAAGTAAACTGAAATTTCCTAGAAATTTTTTGCACTGCATTTATGTAAATATTTTTTTATTGCACTTATTTATTATTTTTGGTTAAAAGTTTCAAATTCACAAAATTTTTAACAAGGTAACACTTAACTTCTTTAATTTTTATCTAATTTACCCTATTCGAAATTCTCGTACATACCAACATTCGCTGCCATGTCGACATAATTTACTATTTGCCTCAATTTACCAACAATTTACTCGAACTCACACATGGGCTTATTTGTATTTATACACAATGTAGTTTGCTTGCATTATATGCATTTGTGTTAGATTTGCTCTTTACGGAAACATGACATTTGACAGATTGCAACAGTGATGGAAATGTCTGAAAGATACTTTAATAAGGGATTTGTTATTTTTTCCGCACATTCCCATCGGCTTTATGCTCATCATGTTGACTAAAAGTAATAATTAATTTAAAATTATTTGTTTTAATAAATTAAAATTATTATTTATTGCGTAATATTGGCAACCCTACATTTAATAGCTGTTTGACATTTCTGCTAACGTCAAACCGGCAGCATGCAAACCGCACATTTCAACGTCCGTCTTTCTAAACTGCAATAATAAACAAACTATAACGAGAAAAATAAGTCTATAAAATGGATTCCTTAATATCAGATACAAATGGTTTAACTATTACAAAAGATTTAAAATTGCGGCCTATGAAATGTGAAGCATACACACTCTCGAATAGTGATAGTTCTGTTACATATTCACAAGGTAAATTAAATCTCTAAGATATTAAAAGAAATGTAAACAAATATTTATTTTTATTTAAATGTGAAGGTATGACATGTGTTGTGGCGGCATGTTCTGGTCCTATGGAGTGCAAACTTCAACATATGAATGGTGAAAATGCTTACGTTGAATGCATTTATCGACCCAAAGCTGGTGTGGCTACAATTCACCATAAATTGTTTGAAGGGATAATAAAAGATACAGTGATCGCAACGTTTTATACCAACAAATTGTGTCGCGCAAAGTTCTCAGTACAAGTGCAAGAAGTGGAAGATAGAAGTGGTGTAAGTGATTTATTTAATTAAATTGCTTTCGCTAACTTGTTTTGGATTTCAGTTATTCGCTTGTGCGCTCAATGCGGTTTCCTTGGCAATGCTTATGAATGGTGCGTCTATGAGATATGTATTTACGGCAGTACATTGCATTTTGGATGCAAAACAGCGTCTAATACTGGACCCTGATTTAACAGAGTCAAAAAATAAACTTGCCACTTTTACATTTGCGTTTGAAAATGTGCAAAGAAAAATTGTCACGGTTTATGCCAATGGCAGCTACACTCGTGCACAATTTAATGATGCTGAGCTGCTCTGTCGAGCAGCCAGCTTTGAGGTTTTAGACTATTTTCGTGCCTTTATAACACCTTTGTACAATGTAATACGCAAGAACGTGGGAGTCGTGGCGCTGGATTATAGATCAAGTGAAGAAGATGACGCAAAAGCAGAAAATGTTAGTAAAAATGAGAAGGATTGAAAAGTTAATTTTAATAAGTATTTTTAATTAGAATAAAAAAAAAATTGTGTAAGAAAGACTAATGTTTTCATCATAGTCTGTGTAATAGGAAAAGGTTCAACAAACGCCTGCAATCTACTCGACGACCAAGAAGTGCCGTACAGCACTCCCAAAAGGGACTATGCAAACTGATATTTTTGGAGTACAATAATAACAAAAATTAAATGGAAAATTTCAATTCTTATAGGATATATTCTTTATTTATTGTAAAAATCTGATATTGTGCTAATGTAAAGTGGCGTACCCTTTAGCACTTGCGAATTGGACTCGGTTATTTTGGCTACAATAAAATCTCCGGCAGCGATTTCCTTTGTCTCTGCACTATTTTTCGATGTAGGCAAGGCTGTTGCAGGCACAATAACTTTAATGTTAGCTTCATTGCGACCAAACCAACTTTCACTTGAGCGTTTGCTTTTTCCTTCTAAGAGTATAAGTTCATCTCTTCCCTCATACTCTTTCTGCAAGGCTGTTGCAGTGTGTCTAAACGCCTTGACCATGCGTTGCAAACGTTCAATTTTGGCAGCTTCAGGTACATCATCCACATATTTTCGATGTGCGGTTGTACGCTCACGCATGCTGTATGCAAATAGAAAAGCCACATTATAACGTACCTCTTCGATAAGTGTTATAGTATCGTCGAACTCTTCTTCAGTTTCTCCACAAAAACCACAAATGAAATCACTAGAGAGACCAACATTAGGTACGTAGCTTCTAATGGTATCAACCAGGCGTAGATAGGCATCACGTGTATAGCCACGTCGCATACGCGCGAGCACCGCATCATTGCCAGATTGTGCTGGCAAGTGCAAACTTTTGCAAACATTCGGATAATCACGTATAACACGCAATACATCTTCGCTGAAGTCCTTTGGGTGTGGTGATGTGAAACGTATACGTATCTCAGGCACAGCTTCTGCCACAGTACAGAGCAGCGTAGCGAATGGCACGCCACCGATTTTTGGCTTATAAATTGTACTAAAACCTGGTGCTATGTTACTAGTAACTTTATCGTTAGAATTGCTAACAGTTATGTCTCTATAACTATTGACGTTCTGTCCTAGGAGTGTAACCTCTTTAACACCTTTATCACGCAGCGCCAACACTTCATTGACGATTGATGTCACGGGACGTGAGCGTTCGCGACCACGCGTAAAAGGTACTATGCAGTATGTGCACAAATTATCACAACCGCGCATTATTGAAACAAAAGCTGTAGGAGATTCCACATTCAATCGCACTGGCATCACATCAGCATATGTTTCGTCCAATGATAGCAGCACGTTAATGGTCGCTTGTTCATAATGTCTGGAAACAGCCAATAATCTTGGTAAGTCTTTGTAACTATCGGGACCGGCAATCACATCCACACACTGTTCACGTTCCAATAGGCGCTCTTTTAGCCTTTCCGCCATACAACCCAGCAGCGTTATCTGTAAAGGTCGACGTGCTTTAGAAAAATTTCAGTTTTTTAATTCAAATCTCTTGGGCACAGCAAAAGTGTATATAAAACTCACCTGGACGTTTTGACTTCATTGCGTTTAAATGCTTCAAGCGATTCCAAATTTTTTGCTCCGCACCTTCTCGTATGGCACACGTCACCAGCATGATTACATCCGCCTCCTGTACATCACTGGTTCTGTTATATCCGTTCTCTTGCAGCACTGCCCAAACCACTTCCGTGTCATTTGTGTTCATCTGACAGCCATAAACCTCGAAGAACACTCGGCGTCCCTGCCCAGCGTAAGTATCGGGATTTATATAAGGCACAATTGTAGTTGGGTCTGGTATTGCATTTACACGTGGTACGTGTTTAACATTAATGAAGTCCTGTAGGCCAGGACCGGTTGTGACTCTTTCCAAAAATGTTTCTCGTTGTGTATTTGAGACTTTGGTGGATTTTGCTGCAGTGCTTAAAATACGTTTGTGATTACTTCTAGCGGATAAAGTACGCCAGGTCCTGCTTAAACATAGTTTCATGTTGAAGTCCTTCACTTCAAGACAGATTTTTTTTATTAATTTTATTATAAAACTCAAGCAATTTTAGTTCACCGCATTCAAATTGCATAAACACACTAGGAAAACAGCTGTGCTAGTCGCAGTGCAATGACAGTATGTGTAAATAATGAAAAGTTATAACAGTTATAACAGAAGAGAGAATTGAAGGAAATTTTTTATATAAATACGTGATATTTGATATAAAAACCGTTGATTTTAAATTTTGAATAATAACATATATTAAGTATTTAACTGACAAAACAGTGTGGTTAAGAATGATGGAATTCTTTTATTTTGCAATTACCAAATATATAAATCGAATAGCTTAGATTGAAAAAGCAATTGTATAAATGGATAAAATAAACAGAACACTCTTCTTGTGTAATCTCGTATGTATTTATGAAGGTGCAGAATAGATCAAGCTGGTCGTAATGTATAAAGGCCTGAACCTAACCTATAAACTATTATCATTACCATGTATCTATGATTCTAATATGAATTAAAATTATGTTGTGTACTTATGACGTTTTCGATTGGTAAATTTGGATTCAATCTAGATTTGCTCTCGATCTGTCAAATTTATTGCCCAACCGAAAGTTTTTAGAGTACATGTAAGATTTTTGCAGTTTGTGTTAGTAGGCCTTTATAACTACGCCGTAGCTGGTCCCAAGAACGGTTGAAAAAAAAGAGAATGGAACTTGACCAGCTAACCAGAATTGCTTTTTGAACATCATAGCGTCTCAGGAAATAGGTGAGGACAAACAACAATTCTATAGCTTACTAAGAAAGCGAGTTACAATAGTCTTTGAACCCATCAGGTATTTATCTCATCTCTATATCTATATCTCTTCGTATATCTGCTCAAAAGCAGAATGTAGTTCTAATAGCACTTGATAAGTGTTCCTCAGATACACTACTATAATATAGTACAAATTAACTTGGCAGGACACTCATCATCTGCCATCTTTAGTTTGTTCAAAAGATTTGGCGAAAAGTTGTCTATAGAAGAGTAATGTGCGTTTAACAGTGGCGCTCGAGACTATTAGAAGAAAGATACAGAATGTGGTGCAACAGAGGAAGAATGATGGTCAAAAACGTCGTGATGAGAGTTATACATTTATGTCAGTTGGACCATTCGAGTTGTAGAACGGGGCAGGAGAGGAAGGGCGATGATCAGAAACTTTTTGATGAATGTTGTACATTTTTGAGAATTGTGAAGACCAATTTTTAAGGCTGCAAATTTATTTATACAATTGGTTGCAGTAGCTGCTTTGCTTTAAGTCCTAAAAGAAAAAAGAGTGCCAAACATCTGACACATAAATTGTATTAGTGTAGGATTGCAATGACCAATCCATATTGATATTCAAAAAACTGAAAAGAGTGGAGTCGTTCTAATAGGAACGCGGATCGGAAACCTCGTTGTGGAAGTTATACATTTTTTTTCAATTCTTAAAAACCACTTTAATCCAAAAGTCGTGGATTAGTGGATTACCTACCTAGGAAACATCGTTGCATTTTTTGCTCATGGTTTTATTTTATTGACTTCTACTTAGTCATTGACATTACTATCAAAGTTAAAGTATTGAGCTTTAGAGCGAAGTACATTAATCTTTTGAATATTTGGATTAAAATATCCTCTTCTCGGAGGTGAATTCAAACTTAATGAGGCAGCAGATTTTAGTAACTTAGTGCAGTTGTGAGTTTCTTAACTAGTTTGTTTGAATGTTCCAGTTGATGTCTTGGTAACAAACACAAATACGTTAAGGACATTGCATTGTTCAAATCCTGTACCACATTTAGTTGCCATGTTTATGTTGTACACGTTAGTGACACTACTTGTGCCATTGGCTTGTGTTGTGTCACATTGTGTTGTGTTGTGTTGACCATGTTAATACTTCTTATGTGTAAATATTGTTGTTGGTGTTGTTGTCATTTGTTTAGGTTGTTAACTACTCCAGCTCCAGTTCCAGCTCGAGTACAAGTTCGTTTGTGTTGACTTTGTGCACTTCAAGTGTGTGTCGGGCATTCGGATGGCATTGCGGCAATATTGTAATTATGATAATGCTCAGGTGGTGACAATTTTGTGACACCAACGATCTGGTCAAATAAATCTTTGTACTCGCACCAATAACAACAACTCCACTGCGAAATAACATTGTCCATGTAATCCTGCTCCATGCGTGGCTTGTAGAACAATGCAAGCTGTAGCAGTTACAAGTGGTAATGTATCGTAGCATCCTAAACATCTTAGGCATAATAAAATAGTTTATATTTAATTTATATTATTCAGTTTATTAAATGACACTCATTTATTACATAATTTTGGTGTTTTCCAAAATCCCTACTTAAAAGCTTTGTGGCTTCAATTACTGCTAGTTCAGTGGTAGGGGCAGAAGTAATATTTGATAATTTCAATGTGGCAACATTGTAGTAGGCATAGAAGTATTACCATTAAGCAAGCGAATGATAAGTATAAGGATAAGTAAGTAGGAAGTAGGGGAAGTATAAGAAATTCTAAGTATAAGGAATTCATTTTAGTGCTCCGTCGAATTTCAAAAAATGATTTTTCAGTTGGTAAATTTAAGTTAGCTTTAGTTAGTTAATACATATCTATCAATAAATCATATAAGTAGTGGTGGTACGTTTGGTTTAAAGTAGTCTCGAACTAATGGTTTAGAACAGTCCCGAATTATCCTTTAAGAAAAACCTCGAATCATTGCTTCAGAGTAATCATTTATCATCGAATCATCGTAACCTCAAACTAATTGTTCAGAGTTTTCCGAACTAATGGCGTGAAACATCTGAGAAGCAATGGTTTATAGTAGCTAAGAAATCAGTGGTTTAGAGTAGTTTTAAACCAATAGTTAAAATTAGCGTCGAACAAATGTTTTAATGTAGCTTCAAAAAAATTTTTTAAAATAGCCACTAAAGTATCATTTAGAGTTGCATCGAATCAATAGTTCAGAAAAGCCTCGAGACATTGTTCCAAAGTCTTAAGTTAATGGTCTAAAGACCTTCCGAACCACTGCTAAAGAAAAGCCGCCAGGTTTAAAGTAACTTCAATCTAGTGGCTTACAGTTACTGGAAGTAATAGTTGAAACTTATCTTAGAAACAGAGGTTTACAATAGTCTTGAACCAGTGATTCAGAGTAGTTTTAAAACAATAGTTAAAAGTAGCGTCGAATCAATGTTTTACAGTAGCTTCAAATCAATTTTTCAAAATAACTACCAAAGAATCGTTTAGTAGCTTCAAACCAATGATACAAACTAGTCAAATTTCAAATTAGATTCGAAACAATAGTACAGATAAGTCTACCACCAATAGTTCAAAGCATCCTCGAGTCAATGCTTTACAGTAGCCTCGGCGCAACAGATGGTTCGGAGTAGCTTTGAGTCAAAAATTCTGAGCATACTCGAAGTGTTTTTGAAGAACTAAATCGATTTGCTTTAGAAATTTATATGTCGCCAACCCCAATTTAAATAAGGGTCTATTACACAATAGGTGTGGCTGTGTATCTTGGTTGGTATATTTGGTGAATTCGAAAGATTTTGAATAAGATTAATATAACTACACTAACTTCAGAATTCTCATTACATTTAAAACTCATTTCGATAATTGTGCAGTTTAGATTGATTAATAAGTTATTTTACTATATTGAAACCATTACCAAGTACATTAAGGTTCAGTCCAATTAGGTTCGATGGTCATCCTAATGGAAGAATGGAAGGAGGGATATATAGACTTCATTTCTGTCGTACTTTAAAGAAAATAAGGGGTTTTACAATAAAAGTGTTGTAGTTTGCCAGGTTTTACGAGCGGCCATAAAAGAGGTGCACTCGGGGGAAGAAGCAAAGGGGCCAGCTATTACCAGCTTTATTAAATCACAATTTACAATTTACTTAATACTTCAAACATTCTATATATATAGTCATTTCTTTCATAAACTCTATACATTTCGCCATGAAGAATTAGCTATTAATAAATATTTGTATTAAGCTATATTAAGCAATATGAAAATAATATATTATATTTATGATTTCCTAAAAGCTTAAGCTGACATCTTTATTAACGTCTTGAAATACTTAATTTTTAATTTATTATGAAATATAAAAATTTTTTCTTTTTAATAAAATATGAAGATAGGAAAAAAAATGTAAATGAAAGTGCACTTAAACCTTAAAAAGTCACAAAGCCACTGCTACAATTCTAATTGAAACATTCATCTTAATTCTCACCTTTTGCCTAATTAATTCAAGCAAATTTAAGTAAATTAATATAAACGTTCCAAAATAACATTGGATGAAAAAAAAGAAAGAGAAAAAAAAACTCTAAGAAAATGTGTTGCTTACGTTTTGACCATAATCAAACCCCCAGAAAATGCCTACAACTGCTTGAGGTTAACGAGAATTAATGGCTTTTACTGGCACAATTACAGCACAAAAATTGGCTACTATTGCGTAAATTAAGCTCAACTTTATGAGCACGTAACGACGGCAACAACAGCTTCTCACCAACTACGTAAGATTTAACCTAACAACAAAATGAACAGTTCTTAATAAGAAGAAATCGTAGCAAAAAACAAAAAAAATTCGGAGAAGCAAAAACAAAAACAAAAATAAAAAAAATAAAATAAAATTAAATGACAAACCATGAAATTGCCACCAAAATTACTTTCACACCCGTGCCCAAGTGAAATGTTAGTACGTCAAAAAAAAAAACAAAAAAAAAGCGACACAATTTTTGGTCATGAAATTAATTTATGCTTGCAATTACGCAGCATCGTCAATAAAACGCATTCTACTGATGCCAGTAAAGCCCCTTAACACTCACCCACCCATCTACCCATCCACACATAGACACCTTTCGCCTTTAAGAAATTACCGACGTTACCGAAGTTACCAACCAAAGTCACCAAAGTCACCGAAGTCATCGAAGTCAATGTGTGCAAATTCAAAAGGCGAATAATAAAATTGGAAAATGCTCTTTTGCCGAGTTAATTGCCATTTTCACTGCGTTCCAATTGCAAATTAAAATTTTCTTACAATGAATATAAAAATTTCCA